TTAAAACAGGTGTCTTAGGAAGAAAAAAGTATTTGTTCTCTATAAAGATTGATAGTTCTCCCAAAAAAAAAAAAAAGATTGATAGTTCTTGAAAATGTAACATATTAAATGATCTTTATCATAAGCTAGATAACATCAAATAGATGCTTGGTATATTATATACAATAAATTAGTACAGATTTTTTAAAAAGTATAGCAACTTACATTGAGATTTAAGCTGTTTCTCATATTTGACTTAAGGGGGATCTTTTACATACATGAATTAATATCCTGTTATGAAGAAAAGACAAGTAATTTGTAAGTGGGTCATTTTATCAGACTGTTAAAAACCCACCACTATTTTTAAACACCCTAAACATTTTGATAATAAAAATAACCTAGGTAATAAACATGATTGAGTCTAGATTACTGTAGTAAAACAATCAGTAATATGAACTTAATATGAAAATATAAGGTTTTCATCATAAGTACAATAAAATTAGGGGGAAATGGAGAATAAACTAGCATTTATTATATTCATTTTTTCTCTGCCAAGGGTGGTAGAGAATTACAGAGTTTAATGTTCTTAAGGAATTGAAAGAGTATATTACCTCTTATTTGGAACCAAGGGCACTAACAATCTATGCAAGTTTAAGAACATATCAAGATCAGCAAGGAGAGGACAGTAAATGATAAGAATTTATTCAGCATATGTGATAGCAAAATTGTTCATGTACCTCTCATTATATCATATTGTCTTTATAATTTCACATTTAAATTGTCCAAATTTGAATAAATAGTAGAATTACTAAACATATAAGTATACTAATATGTGCAATATTTATAATTTATTCTTATTTTATGAAGTATTTATTGATTTTTGCAGGTTAGAAGAGAACACAAATATCTGTGATTATTTACAGTAATGTAATAAAAGATAGAGGGATTAATTAACTCTTCCTTAGATGGAAAAATGTATATTCTCCTTGCTTGTTCATTTCTGGCCCAAATTTCCTTATGCACATCTGTTTTTAAATGTACAGTATTCTGTATGTCATAACTCACATTAGCATATTTTGAGCCATTCTATCTAAAACAGCAATTACTGTGTCTTGCTATGTGTTGTTTTAATTTTGTGTGAGACAGTATATTTGGTAAATAGTCTTAAATCAGTTACCATTGGTAAAGTTTTAAAAGTGTATGCTGATTCTGCCGTCTAGAGTAAAAGATGATTGGAATTTTATGAGAAAGTAGGTAATAGCATAGATTTTCTTTTAACCTGAAAAGTGATGACAGAAAAAAAAAATCTTAGAAATATGAATTTAGAGAACTTATATTCTGCATATGGGCACAAACTCTAGTATACAGCTAAAGAATTTATTAAAAGAAAAGTAGAAAGGCAGGCATTATTCATAAAAAAAGGCTTACATTACTAAAAATACTTTGGCTTAAAAGAATTTTTGTTTTGTTTTTCTAAACATTATATGGATTCAATCTGTTATATTTAGGAATATATGTGAATAGATAGATAGATAGATAGATAGATAGATAGATAGATAGATAGATAGATGCATGCAATAACAGTGAAAAATAGGCCATAAACTTGAAGAGCAGGGTGAAGTATGTAGAAGAGTTGAAAGGGAGGAAAGTGAAGGGATAAATGTGGTAATTAAATTATGATCTCAAAAATAAAACAATAAGAAAATAATTTTGTGAATGAAAGACATTAATAAGGCAGCAATGTTTAAATTCTTAATATATTTTACTCACATTCTAATCTGGCTACAAATATCTTTTCTTACATATGAATGTTATTCCAAAATAATTTCTATGTATATGAAAATTGAGTCTTAATTTATAATTCATCATCCAATTACTAAATTGAGGCCATGGTTCGAACTCAGTGGCTAGAACATTTACATCAGAACAACCCCATGCTGTTCTACAGTTCTAAATTCTGGTAAAAGAATCTCTCCTAGTTTTTAAATTATCTTTTCTCTCCCATAACATGTGACTTTCAATTAATGTTTGAACAAGTCCAATAAAAAAGAAGCTTGCAAGCAAGTTGGGAAAATGTCTCAGCAGTTAGTGGATGGTAAAGCTCCTGAAGAAAACCAGTGTTTATTTCTTATTTTCCTGGTTGTGTGACTCAAACACCTATTATGTCTAAATCCAGAGGATCTGATGTCTTCTCCTGGATTTTGTGGGCACCTGTACTCACATGTGCACATAACCTCACACAGTCACAGCCACATATACATAATGAAAATGAGAAAGTAAATCTAAAAAAAAAAAATTAAATTTGAAAAGGTAGGAAACTTCTGTTGAAATACAGGAAACTCATGATCTTCCTGCCTTCACCTCCTTCAACAAATCCTACCAGCCTGTGCCATCACATCCACACTCAAGCACCAGTCTGAGCTCCAGGAATCCAGTCAAAGAGAGGGAAGAGGGATTCTATGAGCAAGGGGCATCGAGATTATGATGGGGAAACGTACAGAGACAACTGAACCAAGCCAGTGGAAACTCATAAACTTTAGACCAACAGTGATGGAGCCTCCATGGGATTGGAAAAGGTCCTTTGCATAAGGAGACACTTGTGTAACTTGATCTGCTTAAGGAGCCTCTGGAAGTAGGATCAGAATCCATCTCTGATGCATGACCTGGCTTTTCAGAGCCCATTATCTTTGGTGGGACACCTTGTACAGCCTTGATGCAGGGGGAGGGGCTTGGACCTGCCTCAGCTGAATGTAACAGGCTCTGCTGACTTACCATAAGAGGCCTTATCTTTTCAGAGGAGGGAATGGATGGTGGGTCAATGTAATACACCATATAAACAAACTGAAAGAAAAAAAAAAAAAAAAAACATGATCATCTCACTAGATGCTGAAAGGGCCTTTGACAAAATCCACCATCCCTTCATGATAAAGGTCTTGGAGAGATCAGGAATACAGGGACCATACCTAAACATAATGAAGGCAATTTACAGCAAGCCAATAGCCAACATCAAATTAAATGGAGAGAAACTCTCTTCCCTGAAAAATACTGCCTGGCTAATGACCATTTAGCTCTTTATTAAACTAATCACAGTGACATATCTTCACACAGTGTAAAGAAATATTCTTCAACATGATATGCTAAATGTTTTCCTTATTTCCTAATCTTGAAACAGCCTCACACTATTAAAATTGTCACATTTGGTCAGGAGTAAGAAGTTTATAAATTTTACTGGTAGACATTGTTTATCAACACTATAATTTTGATCTTTCATTATGACTAATAAATATCTGTTGTGTGTATGTGTTTTCAAATATTTGTGCCAAAGTTATGTGTAATTATGTAAAGGTGTTTTTCTTTCATGCTCTCTGGAAACATTTCAACAAATCTTTAATTTTCATCTTCAAAATGAAATCATTTTAGCAGAATCATTTGTGCTAAATTAAATCATTTGTGTCAGCTCCGTGAGCTTTATGTTTAAAGTATTTTATTACCAAGAAACCAAAAACCTATACTTAAACAATGTCATAATATAATTATTTTTATGGCTTCTAATTTGATTTATTTTGGATTTACTATGTCAATTTTCCATGCATTTTTCCCCTTTGGGGAAAAATGTATCTTGATAGTTGTTAGTGTGTTTCCTATCTGTTATCTCAAGGAAGCTGCTTTGAGACAATTGAAAATTACTCTTTTTAGATATTTTTCTTTATTTCATATGGGTTTACTTTTTTCATCACTCATTTTGTATTAGATTCATAAAGCTTGCACACTTTCGTGAACTTGATCACATATGTTTATCAACATAAGCATTTCTCTGTGAACTGTCATAGCTCCATCCTTTAAACTGTGGTATCAGAAAGGCTTTCTAGGAAAAATTAGAATGTATTCTACATAATTTATCATAGAAAAAATATTACATCCTAAATATTTGCCTTAGGTTTGGAGAGAGGAAAGAAAAGGGGGAATGTTATAATTATATTAAAATCTCAAAAATTATTTTAAATCATTTCAATCATTTAGTGTTTTGTATCTGTATAATTTTTATTAACAGCTTATTACAATGTAAATGTGAATTGACTGTCTTACAGAGGTCTATGGGCTCATATCACTAGATGATCACATGAACTACTCTATTATAAAACATACACTATCTTTCAGACAGACAGGGGATATATATACTGCTCTTGAGGGTGATCTTATTTGGTCTATCCTAGGTACACTCTTTCAGTTTTTAAGTGGGCACAATGCCACCATAACACATGGGTTCCTGAGGGAGAACATGAAGCAAATTTGGCAATTATTTGGTAGATAAATATGCAATGCTGGCAAAGTCTGAGAAGAACAAATTCTTCACATCCAACTTAGATAGTATGGGTGTTCTTCATTACTATTTCATCTTTGGAAACCAAAGCTTCCCTGTAACTCACCATAAGTCTTGTCTCACTCTCTATCATCATTATCGGTTTCTATGACTTCCATTGAGTTTTGTGATTTACATAGTGCCAATTAATGCACCATATTTTAATACATAATGGGAAGGGAACTTGTGAATGTGTTGCTAATGAATATGTACATGCATAAAATATAGATTCTATACATTTCAAATGTATACCAGAATACTATTTAGGTTTTCTTGTTTCCACCTTGATTGATATGCTTTTCACATGGTAAAATATATGGTTTAATGCAGTACTACAAAACTTCACGTAATATTTTATAAGACTTCACTTTGTGGTCTAAAAGTATTCACTAAGTTAAACTACATGACAAAGGTAGTTTAATGAAATTATCCTTTAACATCTTGATATTTAAAATTTACTAAATATATATTCAAACCCTTAAATATCTGTGGTATTTCTAGGTACTTAGGAAAGAAAATTATAAACATTTTTAAAACTTCATTAAATTTTATGGTTTTCATTCATTTTTCTTCACAGGAGTTTATAGGCATTCATTCTTGAAGATAAGTATAAAACGTACTTTAACTGGGAAATACAATCATTTTCATATCATTAATACAGGAGAGGAGTCACTCACAATTTTTGTGGACAAGCGGAAGCTGAGCAAAAGATCTGAAGGAAGTGACACAAGCACCAATAGTTCGTCTGTCACCCTGGAGACCCTACATCAGTTGGCTGCTTCCTATTTCATTGACAGGGACAGCACTCTTCGCAGACTCCACCATATCCAAATTGCATCCACTGCCATCAAGGTAAGCATGAAATAACACTTACATTGCCCCTTTCCTTTGTTTATCCCATTTCTATGATATCTCTCTGGCTATTTCTTGGACCAGTGATTTAAATGATTGTTATAAAAATGTGGCTTTTTTCAATTGTTTTTAATTATAACATATAATTGTATGCAGATTGATGCAGTATTTTCAATTGATAAGTAGGTCAGAGGTTTTTTTTTTCTTTTTTAATGTGGAAATATAATTAAAATTAATTTAATTTTGAAATTCAGTCTTGTTCAGAGACACTTCTTGGGATGGTGTATGTAAGATTAACCTTAAAAATCATATAGATTTTATTTGCTGTTGTTCCTCATACTATGCTTTTAAAATATAGCAAGATGTTCTATTAGGATGAAAATGAGTTAGAGCAAAAATAAAATCATGAAGAGTTCTTGTCTAAGATATTTAAAAGTGAATGATGATACCCTAATGTAGAATTAGTAGAACAATGCTATCTGCTCACCAGTCATTTGACTCTGTACTTAGTAAGTTTGACTATCAAAAACTATCAAATGAAAAGTGACGTGGGTAAACAATCAAAAGATAAAAGAAATCAAGAAAGGAGAAGTAGAGAATGAGGTTTTGAGGAGTGGGGTTTTGTGATTATACCCTTTTAGTGGCATTTCTATAGAATATTAAGCTAATCATATTATTGTGTTTGGCCAAGGGCAAGAGTATTAATAACTGACAAGAGCCAGATGGTGGTGGCACATGCCTTTAATCCCAGCACTTGGGAGGCAGAGCTAGGTGGATTTCTGTGAGTTCAAGGCCAGCCTGGTCTACAGAGCGAGATCCAGGACAGGCACCAAAACTACACAGAGAAATCCTGTCTCGAAAAACAAAAACAAAAAAACAAAAAACACACACAAAATAACCTGAACAAGAATGGGCGCAGTAGGTTCTTGGAAGAATGTTGTTATAACAAAATGAATACAAAGAATTTTTTTGTCATCTTATATCTCACATATCATACTTAATACAAGAAGCAAATATTAAGTATAAAAATCATAGTTCTATGAAATGAAAATGAATGTGTACGTGCCTTTGTGCCTATAAGTTGAAAGGTTATCACTGTGATATTTGGGGAAATGTGAGCATGCACACTAGCACACACACACACACACACACACACACACACACACACACACGATAATCTTGGAAAATATTGAAATATCTTTAGCAGAAGGATTATCAAAAATATGGAATGCTCTGACATATGTATGTTTAGTGTATCTAGTATAAGGATTAGGTAACTTTTTTCTGTAGATGTAAATTATAAAATGCAATTTTACATAATTTATACTTTATTATTTATAATTCAGAAGTCAGCCTCTAACTGTGGAGCTCATATTGAGGAACTGAGCATATAAGCAATATCTAGACTGTATAGATTAACATACAACCAGTACAATTTCAGATATCTTTGATAATGTGGAAAAGCTTTAAGGTAGGATATTGTTAAATATTTACTTGACAATACTGAAGAGAAATACACTTTACCAGAAATCAATTTTAATAATGAAAACAATATGTTAAGCTATAATTTCCAATAGAGAAAGCATGGATGTATGTATATTATATAGTTATTGACTTTTTATTTATTAAAAGTAGAAATATATAGCTGAGTTTTTTCCTTTGTTTTTTTCTTTATTTTATTTTATTATACAATATAATTTAATTCTACATATCAGGCATGGATTCCCTTGTTCTCCCCCCTCCTGCCCCCTCCCCTACCCCCAGACCCCCCATTCCCATCTCCTCCAGGGCAAAGACTCCCCCGAGGATTGATATCAACCTGGTAGACTCAGTCCAGGCAGGTCCAGTCCCCTCCTCCCAGGCTGAGCCAAGTGTCCCTGTATAAGCCCCAGGTTTCAAACAGCCAACTCATGCACTGAGCACAGGACCCAGTCCCACTGCCTGGATGCCTCCCAAACAGATCAAGCCAATCAACTGTCTCACCTAATCAGAGGGCCTGATCCAGTTGGCGGCCCCTCAGCCATTGGTTCATAGTTCATGTGTTTCCATTTGTTTGGCTCTTTGTCCCTGTGCTTCATCCAACCTTGGTCTCAACAATTCTCACTCATATAAACCCTCCTCTTTCTCGCCAATTGGACTCCCAGAGATCCACCTGTGGCCTGGCCTTAGATCTCTGCATCCAGTTCCCTCAGTCATTGGATGGGGTTTCTAGCACGACAATTACGGTGTTTGGCCATCCCATCACCAGAGTAGGTCAGTTTGGGCTGTGTCTCTACCATTGCCAGCAGTCTATTGTGGGGGCATCTTTGTAGATTTCTGTGGGCCTCTCTAGCACTTTGCTTCTTCCTATTCTCATGTGGTCTTCATTTACCATGGTCTCCTATTCCTTGTTCTCCCTCTCTGTTCTTGATCCAGCTGGGATCTCCCGCTCCCCTAAGCTCTCTTTCCCTCGACCCTCGCCCTTCGTTACCCCCACTCACGTCCAGGCTGTTCATGTAGATCTCATCCATTTCTTCGTCATTGGGTGATCCCTGTGTCTTTCTTGGGGTCCTGTTTTCCAGATAGCCTCCCAGGTTTTGTGAGTAGCAGTCCAGTCATTCTTGCTCCACATCTTGTATCCTTCTATGAGTGAGTACATACCATGTTTGTCTTTCTGAGTCTGGGTTACCTCACTCAGGATGATTTTTTCTAGATCCATCCATTTGCCTGCAAACCTCATGATGTCATTATTTTTCTCTGCTGAGTAGTATTCCATTGTGTATATGTACCACATTTTATTTATCCATTCTTCAGTTGAAGGGCATCTAGGTCGTTTCCAGGTTCTGGCTATTACAAACAATGCTGATATGAACATAGCTGAGCAAGTGCCCTTGTGGTATGATTGAGCATTCCTTGGGTATATGCCCAAGAGTGGTATAGCTGGATCTACCACCCTGAACGCGCCCGATCAGACAGCTGAGTTTTTAATGCCTATAAGTAAAATATATTCACCCACACATCATAACTAAAAATAATGACTATTTCCGCATAGACACCTTTTCTCTTAAAAAAAAAGAGACAGCATATGTTTTAAATATCATGTAGCTGCATATTAAAAGTATTTTAGACTTTGCCTACACAAGTATTGTTGGAAAAATAGGACTCCACATAGTTCATAGTCTGACTGTGTAGTAGAAATGAAGCCCAGGGAGAAGAGGCTCTGATGAGGAATGAAGAATCCAGGACTGCTCTGAAAGAGAGGAAGAAGTAACTTTGTGTTTGGAAACTGACACTCTTACCTTGATTGGGTGGGCAACTGACATTTCCCTTCTTCCACAAACCGTGAGAGCTCATAAATTTCAAAGTGCCTGCCCAGAGGCTGAAGATTGGCAGAAGTTAAGCCTTAGATAATGGAGAAGAAACAAAGTGTGATGAGGATGAGGAATGAAGAGGTTATGAATGAAAACATTTCTATTTTATTATTAAACTATAAAAAAAATCTGGAAATGATTCATGTGCCAGATCACAATAGAATGTCTATGAGCTCAGACAGAAAAAATTATTAATTGTGCCAGAGTGACGGGCAATAGGGACTGACAAAGAGGCTTTCTGGACTTAACTCTGTCCTCAATGCTATTGATTTTTAGAGGACGTTGTAATTTGGAGTGAATAGTAATGTCTGAAGCAGTGTGAGTTGCATTCTGGGATACTCTGAAGGTTTTTGCCACTGTGTTTTGCTCAAGCTGCAATGAAGCTCAAAGGTGTTCACGTGTGCCCAGGAAGACAGATATTTAAAGTATAAATACTGTAAAACGGGTCCCTACGTGGGTTAAAAAATATATCCCACTTACTTGTTTATGATAGTACATATAACAATGTATAAATGACAGCGTAAACATGGTAAATATGGACAAACGAGGTGGTGAGACATATTCAAGAATATCCAAACATAAATAAAAATGACATGAAACTACTTTAAGGAAGCCACTTCAAGACATATTCAGTCCCTAGGCACAAACACACACATACACACACACACACACACACACACACACACACACACACACACACACATTAAAAAAACTATGAGGGAGCACAAACAATAAAAGCAATGTATTGAAGTAAATAATTGAATACAGAGGGTTGTTATATTGTATAGAAACTAAATTTAATCCCTTCACTAAATCCCTAGAGTTTACAATCATTACCTTCATATATAATTTTATATTATATTTTATCATATTATATTATATAAGCTGGTATTAGAATAACAAAATGCACAGTTTCTTCGTTTGGTTATATTCTGTTTCTTCAAAGTGCCATGTGTTAGACATTTTATTTCTTGAATAAATGTTGAATGTGTTTGCCTTTCAATTCACAGAATTTAAAAAGCAAACTACTGTTAAAAAATAACTCAAATGAAATTACCAGACATCAACAAAAATGCAACTAAAACTGCACAATCCTGCCAATTTTATCCATGTGAATTCTTGAAAAATACAGAGAGTTGATCAATTAGTGCTATGAGCTGCATTCTAGAAAATGAAATACAGCAACTTGTTGTACTTATCTCCTATAATTATGAAAGTAAATGTGAGTAGTAGCTCATTAATGCAACTCTAAATTTCCAAACAGAGGCCCAAACTGCTGTGTAGCTCAATAATATTCAATGTATGTGTGGTTAATACATAGATATAAACTTGTATTTCTCAAAATAATCATTAATTGTAATGTCATACAAATGTCTATAATTGGCTATTACTTTTTAAAAATCTCAACTCAACTGAATTATCTGGCACACAATTTTACTGATATGACCTTCATTTTGAAATACCCTGATAAAGATAAAAGTTTTAAAAGGGATATTAATGAGAAAATAAAATGGAAGTTTTTCTGGTGAGGAAATTTATCCAAAAACCTAATTTTGATTATACACATGCTTTGTTTAAAATGCTTTTTCTAAATTAAGTTTTAAAATTATTCAATGAGTAAAATTGATTATTTGATAGAATTTAATTAAT